GGTACGTCAAGACCTTATAGGATATATAGAGATATAGTCTTGAGAAAAGACCAGAAGCAACATTTTTCAGCTGAGAATATATAAAATACATTACATTGTTTAAAATACATTTACATTTAAAACACTATTTAAAATACATGTTTACGTACCTATATATAGATAAAAGTTTTTTTTTTTCATGTTTATATGCACAAGTAGATTTTCAGTCCAGAAACTAGTTCCAACAAACCATAAATAATATAATATAATATAATAAACAAAAAATAAATAGTTTTAGAATGAGAATTTCATTCAAATATTAATTACTTAAAACTTTGATTAATGATCTAGAAATAGTGTAGAATTTAAAATATTTCTTTCATCTTATAAAATAGATTACATTGTTTAAAATACATTCTAAAATGCATGTTTATGCGTACATATTTAGATTTTAAAAATTAAAAAAAAAAAAATCTTAAAGTTTTAGGATTTTAATTTAAAAAATGTTTTTATTAAAACATTTTATTTCATTTAAAAAATAATTTTATTAAAATTTTGATTATTTAAAAATTGTATTATTTGATTAATGACCTAGAAGTATGAATATGGCTTAATATGAAAGAAAAAAATCAGATTCTGCAATATTTTTGTCATTATATCAAATAATAACATTTTTGACTTGGATTATGTCAACTTTTGTGCAAACAGTAAAACAAAGATTTAACAATGAACAAAGATGTCCTCGTTTCCACTCAAGCACGAGATGCTCTTTGGAACATAAAAATACAAAACTGAAGCATATTCGGTTGTGGTCTCAAAATATGTCCAGATTTTTGCTGATGAACACCGGTAGTAATGTTCCGTTGTGTCTTCTGTATAGTTCCAGTATGGCAGCGAGGGCTCTGATCCAGAGGATGTAAACATCCAACTGACCTTCATGCGCCTGATGTCCAACGAGGCTTCTCAGAACATCACCTACCACTGCAAGAACAGCATCGCATACATGGAAGAGGCCACAGGCAACCTGAAGAAGGCTCTGCTCCTGCAGGGCTCCAACGACATTGAGATCAGAGCAGAGGGCAACAGCCGCTTCACATACAGAGTCAGCGAGGATGGCTGCTCGGTGAGCAACACCATCTCTGAAGTTGCTTTATCATTAGCTCCCATATTTGTGTCTCTTTCCTTCCTCGTAATGTTACTTAAATAGAACTCTGCAGGAATGATGCATTTCTGTAGGCCAGTCCAGAAGTTTGCATCACCCCGGTTCCCTCGATAAAAAGCCATTGGATTTAAAAATAAGCTCTGTTACCAATACAAGTTTATAATCCTTCCACATTTTGCTCATCTTGATAATCTTCACAAATGAACAGTTTATTAAACACGATTAATTTCAGAACCGGAAGTGCTAACATGCTAATTTCTGGGTTTGGGCCTATAAAAATACATCACCGCTGCTCTATTATAACCTCATCTTGATTAATTTGTCTTTTGTTCGTTTTTCTCCACAGTCACACACTGGCACATGGGGCAAGACAGTCATTGACTACAAGACAACGAAAACATCTCGTCTGCCAATCATCGATATTGCTCCCATGGACATTGGTGCTCCCAATCAGGAATTCGGCGTAGAAGTTGGCCCAGTCTGCTTCTTGTAAAAAGAAAAATCTGGACATGACTTTGCTGGTTTTTTTTTAGGAGTCATCTTCAAATATTTTCTTGTTTATAAAAAAAGCCTGAACTCTTATTCGGCTGCAATCGGTCCATGTGCTTAAACCTGAATCCCTGAGGACGGTGCTTGTTGCGATTCCCATCTTGAGAAACGTTCATAAACCAAAATTGAGGACCACTACATGAGCCAGCATCACTATCATGCACACTTAGTGAGAATCCTTTGCGTCAGCTGACAGCAAGAAACTAATATATACTTGTAAAATGCCCCGTCCCCTGGAGTCCAAAGAAATACTACCACCTGGTGACTTTTTGTGCTGTTTTTTGACCACTGCAAAAGGACAATGAAAAACAAGCAAATGCTAATGTACCATTCTCTGGTGTTGAATAAATATGACAAACGACAGCCAATTGTCTTGTTCCTTCTAAGCGAAAGTGAGAAAAAATCACACAGGGAACAGAGTTAGCTCAATGGTACAACGTCATCTTGATATAAAGGCTACCTCAGGACAAAAAAGTGCATGTACAAAGATTTTGGGGGGGAACGAGGGCAATTTTTTTATTCAAGCAAAGTAAACGATTAGTAACAGGTATGAAAAGGTGCTACTTCCTCTCTTGGTCCTGTCTGTGGTATGTTTGTATTTGCCAGAAAACACTTGCAGGGCCGTTTTGGTGCTAAATGTCAACAGAATGTCTTGATGTCAATGTGATGCAATTGCTCTTATCAAAGTGTCAGCAGATGAGGAGAATAAAACAGCTGGATAGGTTGGTTACTGTAGATTTGCACTTCATCTGATAAGGGTTAAGTGGATGGACTGATTGCCAGTTCGTCCCATTTCCATTTCCCCTACCTAAGTTTGTAGAGAAGTCTTATTTTTGTCTGTACATGCCGCTCCCCCCGTTTCCAGATTTTATTTCTACTTTCAAAATGCAATGCACATCTCTTTTCTATTTTTGTTTTCGTTTGTTTGATTTGTTTTCAGTGTAAGGTTTCTTATAAAAACTGAAATTGAGGTGGCAAAAAAAGAAAAACCACAGAAGAAATAGACCCTCCAATGGTTCCAACAAAGGATCTGTACTTATTTTGTACATGTATAGTATTTCGAGATGTTTTTAATTATTTTGGATGTTGAAATAAAGCATGTTTGTGGTCAACTGGATGCTGGATATGTTATCTTCTTGCCAATGCCTCAATGCCTTTCTCTAAGCGTGAATTAAACAAACGACGATGCTTTCACTCAACTACCTTAATTTCTACTTTATTTCCAGCGGGTTGTGCTTGGGATGCATGTGGATAACGGGGAGGGAATATAACTGGAAATATGTTTTCTTTTTTCATGAAACTTAAAAATAATGATCAAAATCATTAGCAAACCAAATATTAATTCATTTGTACACCTCTCTAGAGTCTTGAAGATCTACTGTACTTTTGTTTAAATAGTCTAGAGTCTAGACTATTTAAGTCTATTCAGCAATTTGATTTTAATTCTAGTTTTATTACGAAAAGTTTTAAGAAAAAAAAGTTTTATTAGGAAAAAAATAAATGTAGCCTACACTCGCATGAGATGAAAACTCTCCTCACAGTAGTTTTCTATAAAAGAGTGTCTCGTCCAAGTTCTTCATGGCTACAGTAGCGGCTAGTAATCGGCTAGTATAGCTCGCAGCGCCCTCTGTTGTTGAAAGTAATCGTTGTTTTGAACGTGCTGTAAAACAGGGCCGTCTCCGGGGATAGGACACCAATACTCCGATACAGTAGGTTGTGGTATGCACCTGATAAGTCATGGTTGCAATCCACCATAAAACTAACAAGAAGAAGATGAAGAAGGATAGGACACCAAAAACGACTGTCCCCAGTAAACGGGGACGTCTGGTCACCCTATTTTACATGGTACGGGTCGCCCCCTCAGTGTACTTAGCCATCTTTACGTGACCCGCGGTGTGGATACGCTAGTAGCGTAGTGTAGTTTGCTGACGTGAAGAGCTCAAATTAGATGATGGAAAACACTTATTATCGTGATTTATCAATGGACACAACGGGTGAAATACTACCTGTGCAGCCGAAGAAGACGGTGAATAGTTCGACAGGTAAGGGGATTCATGAGTAAAACTAGTGTAATTTACATAAAATTCAGGTCGTCATGCTGATCAACGTCGATAGATGGCACTGCAGCGTCGAACACCATTATAGTAGCGATACTTCAAGTACACAGAAGAAGAACTACTGAACGCACCTTTAAACAGACCAATCGAAGTATTTAATGTTAAATGCAAAGTTCATCGGGATACACATTACCCAACATGCACAGAATCAAAATTGTACGTTTTCCACATCAAACCATACTGTACACCGCATTCAATTTTACAGTTGTTATAAGAGTCACAGATTCTGGATTGGTATCGGCACCAATACTTAACCTTTTTAACGGTTCACCCAAAAATGAAAATTAGACTGTCTTTTACATCCTCGGTGTATATGACTTTCTTCTTTCAGACGAATCCAGTCGGAGTTATATTAAAAATTGTCCTGGCTATTCCAAGCTCTATCATTGCAGTCAGCGGGTGTTGCAGTTGAACAGTCCACAAGTCGTCAAATAAAGCGCGCGCATCCATAATAAAACGTGCCTCACACTGCTCCGGGGGGTGAATAAAGGCCTCCTGTAGTGAATCCATGCGTTTTTGTAAGAGAAATATCAATATTTAAAATGTAATAAACACTTTTCTCTCACTTCCGCTGACTGTCATACGCGGAAGCCGTTCCGGCGGATGACGTATGACGTCGGCATTGCGTGATTAGTGACGAATGCGGAGAGAACAAAACAAAACGCCGGTCACTAATTAGAAATACAAACCGAGGATTTGCAAAGAAAAATGTTAGAGGATTTCGGTATAAACCAAGAGGAGACTGGTTTTCCTTTGCTAAAGTTAGGAAACTTTGTTTCCTTTGCTCCTATAAACAAACTCGCGAGACTAGCATATCTCAGAGGCGCTCGCGCTGCGCATACGTGCTGCATCATCCGCCGGAACGGCTTCCACGTATGACAGACACCGGAAGTGAGAGAAAAGTGTTTATTACGTTTGAAATATTGATAGTTTTCTTACAAAAACGCATGGATTCGCTACAGGAGGCCTTTATTCACCCCCCGTAGCCGTGTGAGGCATGTTTTATTATGGATGCGCGTGCTTAGGAGAAAGTCATATACACCTAGGATGCCTCGAGGGTGAGTAAAACACAGCCTATTTTTCATTTTTGGGTGAACTAACCCTTTAAGGCTAGAAGGGATACAGCAAAAACTACATCAATATAGCGTAATTTTTCTCACACTGTACAACAATAATTACTATTTTTGCATTGTTGTAAGGGTTAGGTTTAGGGTTGGGGTAGGTGTAGACGTTAATAAAACACAATCTAATTTTAACCCTCAGGTATTCCTCACTTTCATTTGTGATCCTCGGCAGTCAATAGAGATGAAAGAATAAGCATTTTTAATTAAATAAATATACTATATTTTGTTGCAGTAATATTTGTTCTCTAATATTTGTTCTTAATTATTTACACTATATTTTGTTGCAGTAATATTTGTTCTCTAATATTTGTTCTTAATTATTTACACTATATTTTGTTGCAGTAATATTTGTTCTCTAATATTTGTTCTTAATTATTTACACTATATTTTGTTGCAGTAATATTTGTTCTCTAATATTTGTTCTTAATTATTTACACTATATTTTGTTGCAGTAATATTTGTTCTCTAATATTTGTTCTTAATTATTTACACTATATTTTGTTGCAGTAATATTTGTTCTCTAATATTTGTTCTTAATTATTTACACTATATTTTGTTGCAGTAATATTTGTTCTCTAATATTTGTTCTTAATTATTTACACTATATTTTGTTGCAGTAATATTTGTTCTCTAATATTTGTTCTTAATTATTTACACTATATTTTGTTGCAGTAATATTTGTTCTCTAATATTTGTTCTTAATTATTTACACTATATTTTGTTGCAGTAATATTTGTTCTCTAATATTTGTTCTTAATTATTTACACTATATTTTGTTGCAGTAATATTTGTTCTCTAATATTTGTTCTTAATTATTTACACTATATTTTGTTGCAGTAATATTTGTTCTCTAATATTTGTTCTTAATTATTTACACTATATTTTGTTGCAGTAATATTTGTTCTCTAATATTTGTTCTTAATTATTTACACTATATTTTGTTGCAGTAATATTTGTTCTCTAATATTTGTTCTTAATTATTTACACTATATTTTGTTGCAGTAATATTTGTTCTCTAATATTTGTTCTTAATTATTTACACTATATTTTGTTGCAGTAATATTTGTTCTCTAATATTTGTTCTTAATTATTTACACTATATTTTGTTGCAGTAATATTTGTTCTCTAATATTTGTTCTTAATTATTTACACTATATTTTGTTGCAGTAATATTTGTTCTCTAATATTTGTTCTTAATTATTTACACTATATTTTGTTGCAGTAATATTTGTTCTCTAATATTTGTTCTTAATTATTTACACTATATTTTGTTGCAGTAATATTTGTTCTCTAATATTTGTTCTTAATTATTTACACTATATTTTGTTGCAGTAATATTTGTTCTCTAATATTTGTTCTTAAATATTTACTTGTGTATTTTGTATTTTTAGTATTTCCAGTTATTTTCGACTGTGAAGATCACAAGACCATTTAGCCGTTTGTAATAATGTCCACATTTTATTTGTACCAAAAATTCAAAATGCATTTGTTTTTTTTTTGACGTGACCGTATGACCAAAGACCACCAGAGGGTTAAACTGAGTAGTCAGATTTGACCAATGCAAACTGACAGTGATATAAGCTTTAATTCAATTAGTTAATCACACAAAGACTTCAAATCACTGATTATATACTGCACAGCAGCACAGCTCAATTGGAGCTATGGTTTTTATATGTTTCTGGAGTTTAACAACTGCTCCTTTTATGCTTTCATGGAAAAAACAACAGCATATGGTTTTGGAACAACATTTTTGGGTGGATTATTGGGTGAATGCTCATTTTTGAATGACGTATTCCTTGAAGAAACACAAAGCAAGAAACAAAAAGTGAACCTTAAACACATTTCCACAGACAGTGGCTATTAAAGTTGGCTCTGATGTCCCTCAGCTCTCTGCCATTGCCTGCTCTGCAATGAGGAGCGGCTGTAAGCACTGCCGAGGACGATCCACGGTGCGCCTGTCGCCGCCGGCCATCCTGCGCAGCTCGTTGGCATTACCCTGAATGGTGTGGTGATGATAGAGCTGCAGACTGAGATGAGAAAAAGGGAAAATGTGCTCAGACACCACAGGTGAAAAGGGTAAAAACTAATAGATATCACCATACTTCCCCAGTTAATTATTCACAGTACACTGAGAAACACTTTCTTATGAACTCATTTTGAGGAAATGGCCTTTAAAGATATGTATTGCAACTCAAATCAACAGACAACAATAACAGCCCTGTGTCTAGAAAAATAATGTTGAATTGCCAAAAAAAAAAGCCTAATACCAAATTTGATGATGCTGAGTTCCAAAATATCAATAAAAACTTTCCATCACATTTTTTTTTCATTGATTAAGGGAGAATGCGAGACTTCATTACCTTACAAATAGTTGTCAAAAGCAATAATGCCACAAAATGCATATTTTGAGAAAGTGTGACGTGCTCAAGCAAAATAGACACTATTTTCAGAATCAGCACATCATAATTAAAAGGAAACAAGGTTTTCAACCAGCAAATATGATGCAGGGCAATGTAATTGTTATTATTAAAATATTTTGGATGTTTTTTCCCACTATTCTGAAAGACGACATGTAGCCCAACATCTCATAAAAAAACAAACAAACAATGGTTTTGCCTGGAGTGTCTTTTCTTAAAGGGGTCCTATTATGCTCTTTTACAAAGTCTTGATTTTGTTTTGGGGGTGTACTAGAACAGGCTCTCATACTAGGTTGTTCGAAAAACACATTATTTTTCACATATTTTACATTATTAAAAACATCTCTCTCCCCAGTCTGGCATGAACGGCTCGAATAGTTCCTGTATCAAATGAAGGCCCGCCTTCTGGAATACGAAATGTGTTGTGATTGGTTAGCTGGGCCAGTGTGTGCTGTGATTGGTTAGCTGGGCCAGTGTGTGCTGTGATTGGTTAGCTGGGCCAGTGTGTG